GAGCGGGACAGTATTTCATGCCGGCACAACACCTGCAAATTTACAAGGCGCAAGTTTGTTACTTTTTATAACTTAATTTATAACGAGGAGTCAACAAAGGGTCCACTTAGTTATTATTGCCTATTCCGAACAAATCGACTTTTTGGTAAGCCACATTTCTTGAAGTGACAAACGAACTTACAGTCCACCTGGTGGAGCCTAGTTCAAACAAAGAAGGCACAAAGGGCGTTCTCACGTTAGACGACTAATATAGAGTATCTCACAGCCTATTTAATTATGCTGGCTCTTTAAACACTTCAAACCAACAAAAAAATAAGTAACAACTTGGTAACTACCCAAATAAATTCCTAGACAGAAAAAGAATCCTAGTAATTGAGTGTTTTGAATTTGAAAAATTGTTCATCGTCATCATCTAATAAGTATTTAAATACGTATGATATTCTCCGTACAACTGCCTTTTTAAATAAATATTGTGAATCCAGAATCTTCTTTTTCTTGAAATTTTAGTTTCTGCTTCCTCTGCCAACGAGCAGGCTATTACAACATTTTTTCTATAGCTTGTCAATGTCACTGTATCGTAACATAAGTGGTTAGAGAAAACTGCAAAATTGTTGGCAATATAAAAGATTTGCGTACGTCGCACACGGCACGTAAGTGTTATGTTTAACGCTTATTGTTTATGGCAAGCAATTGAAATTGCTTGCTTCACATATCATCATCATCATCATCATTACAGCCTATCACAAGTCCATTTCTGAACTTAGTCCTCCCAAGGAATAGCACAAAGCACAGTCCTAAGCCATCTGCATCTCTTCCTCTATTGAAGAGACGGTTTGCTTAAGGGTGCGAAACTGCTACTCGAGAAAAATTTTGCGCTTAATATTTCCTTTAATAATAAATAAAAGTTAATATTACCTACACTCTAATAGAACACAAATATATATCTCCCATACACTTAGAATATTATACTATATACACAACCTGACAGCCCGAAAACGCGTGCCAAATTTTGATTAGTCATTGTGTGTGTTAGCTAGTGATGTACATTTTACTTACAAGGACTATCGAAAAGTAATTATTAAGAAAGCTGTAAAAAGATTTAAAAAAAATTTTAGTGCACAAAACTGAATAACTTCAAAAATTAACTGAATTTTTAACGTGATATTCTAAAATAAACAAAAAAATATTAACACCTGCGTTTTGTTGGATTTTAATTCAAAATGTGTATAATCCCAATAATCTCTGAAGAGGTGAGTCTAACGAATAAACTTAAACAATTTTCCCCACGAAGTCTAAGTATCTCATGAGTTTGGTATGTTATGAAAACGGTCACTCATCCATGGACTAACCACGGCAAGTGCAGACCAAATTTATCCCTGCAGCTATTACTTAACCACGAGGTCCTCTTCTCTACTTAGGCGTAGAATCACGCAACGCTACGCGCTGCAGGCGATGAACCTTGCAATTAAGCCCTTGGAACACGGTCGTCAGCCACCAAGCATGAATAGGGCATCGAGTAACAAATACTATGGAATTTTGTTATCCTAGAACACTGGTACTTTTACGTGGTAGAGCCATGCTGCAGCTATATTATGGTTGTAGCACGAATGGGTCGGCTCGACCGGGGAAGGACCACGCTCTCACAGAAAACCAGCGTAAAATAGCAGCTTAATGCTGCTGTGTTTCGTATGGTGAGTGTAGAGAACCGGAGACCCTTTTTACTGGCAAAGAGGCATTTCATCTTAGTCCTCACGGGTGACAACGCATCTGCATCTTGAGTGTTTATTGAGGATAGATGTAGATGTCTATGGGTCACAGTAACCACTTACCATCAGGTGGACTGTGTGCTCGTTTGTCACCCGATCCTATAAAAAAAAAAAAAAAAAAAAAAAAACTGAACCTCACGTCTCGGCTAAGTTTTATGATTGTGAATTGAGAATATAATCCAAGCTCCGCTCAATCTCTTAGGGGAAATAGCGTGGTACTATAAATATTGTTCTAGTGTGATAGTGAGGTGCGAGTGGTCAAGTAAGGTTATACATTTTTTCGGTTGATAAATAGATAATTAGTTGGATTCATGATGGCATAAATAGGCTAATTTCAAGATTATTTTCTTGAATGTACTACAGTTTTGTAATATACAAAAATATATCTCTTTATTTATCTAAAGTTTTTGAAGTTATATTTTTGAAGTCTTGTTATAATAATATTATACTTACTGGTACACATATAGTAAAAACGGCTCCTTTTAATAAGATTGTTTTTATTCTAATTTTTCTTTTATACTGCTCAATAAAATTTTTGCTGAAAATTGTTGATTTTTTTTTGGATTCGAACTAATTTATCTTAAACATTTTTTTTTTAATATAAAATCCGGAGAGAATCTGTTTGACAAACGGCAAAATAAAATTACATTTTTAGAATGCAAACTGAGCATTTATTTTCATTACTCTTATTGTTGTGTGGGTGCTTGTCTATCGATTCATTATAAACATTCAAGATAAATAACGACATTAATTTTGATATAGTTGAGTCAACCCCTAGTGTACCTACATGTAAAATATTTTGTATAAAAAAAATCATGCAAATTATCAACATCATAACTTGTTTCTTTGCAAAATATCAAAATAATTAAAAATATTCTGTATTTAAACAGTAAGTAGTGTAGTTTAAGAGCCATGGTAGCTCAGATGGTAAGCGCTCGCTGTAAGTCACAGTACGCGAGAAATCCTTGTTCGATCCCCACCGGCACCAATGAAATTGTTAATTGCAACTTTAAGTACTGATTTACCACGTGCTCGGCGGTGAAGGAAAACATTGTGAGGAAACCTGCATGTCGAACAAATAAGAAAATATATATATATATATATATATATATATATATATATATTTCGAAGACATGTGAAGTTCGCAAACACGCAATTGTGGCAGCACGGCGGACCTTTCCTTGCCATAAACCCTCTCAAAAATGAGAGGAGGCCTGTGCCCTGCAGTGGAACGTATATATAGGCTGTAACTTACTTCTTTACTTTACTTTTAAACAGTATATAACATAAATTTAACCAAAAATATTTTATCGGCAAAGAGGATTATTTTTTTATACTCATAGTCTAGAAAATAAAATTGAGCTAAAAGGCAATTTTCGGCTATTTGCCGGGATATAAATATCTTGTGCCAACTTAATACTTAATTTATCTACTTACAAGACAATGTGGGATTATTTATTTTTGAAGTTTTGGTTAAGGTATTCATTAATGCCATGAGGACATCAAAATGTCAGGACCTCAGGAACCTCGTGACCCATGCTACAAGGCGCTCGAAACTGTGGATATTAAAAGGTTAAAAGAAGTACCAAAATGAAACGCGGCAAAATACGTAAAATTAAGTTTCACTCAATACAATTCTTACAACTTAATTATTTTAATTTGTCTGAGCTATTCATCACTTATATTTTCTTCCAGCAGATTTGTAATATTATGCAACATTATTGCGTTGCTTTCATCATTATCATCTTCAAAACACCCCATCACTAGTTCACTACTGAACATCGCCCTTCCTTTTAGAACGACTCCCTCCGTGTTTGATCCCGCCGTCACTTTATATGTTGGAGGGATACCTAACATTGCACTTGCCAGAATGAGACAGCCACTCGAGAAGCTTTTTTCACTGGTCGTCACAGTTCTTCGAGTTGTTTACCGGTCTTTTGCCACTTTAGTTTACTGTGCTATTCTACTTATTTACATGATATATCAATAATTATCACCTATAATTATCAAATTAGGTAGTAGAAACATGTTATATAAATTTTTTAATTGTCAAGAATTACCTTTATGTTCGAAATAACACAAATCATAATCGTTAAACAAAACGCTCTCACAGAATACCAGCTTCATAATGCTGTCTTTAATACGAAGAGTGTAGAGAACCGGAGACCCTTTTTTACTGGCTACAAGGCATTATATCTTGGTCCTCACGGATGACAACGCATCTGCATTTTGATTCCTAATCCGGTAGACTGTATGCTCGTTTGTCTTCCTAATTCTATAATAAATATGAAGACAAGACACACAAAATAGGGAAGATAAAAATAACTAAGGCGACGCGACGTCTCGTTCAGATTATAACGTATCATGATTCCAATAGAAACAGCTATGAGAGAAACGTAACAGTAGGTTTCCGAACTAAATTATTTTCTCATTTTTACACAGTACTAAGAAGAGAAAGATTTTCTAATCAGATTTTTTTAAAGTTTATCAGTCTGTCGTCCCAGAGAAGGACACAGATACATTCTTATTTTTCAGACAATAATGCAGTTGCCCACTAGTATACGTGGGTTGATTTGTTTTGGCAATATCGTACCGAATGGAACCTTTCCCGTACATACTAAAATTGTTATTATTTTTGATGGACATGTTATTATATTATTATATTTATTCGTCATTACGTCATTCGTTTTTGTTTTTGAAATAACATCCAACAGGTTTAGAAAAATATAAGGTTCTCGATTTCATTGTATATTGTTCAGGGTATGTAAGAGATCTTCGACAGTAATTAACGAATTTTGTTGAATTTTTTATCGAAAGATTATACTTTCGCAAAATATTGAACTACTTCACAACATACTTCGAAGATTATAATGTCCATTCATTCATTATAGCCATAGAACAACCCGGTCCACCGGCGGAACGGAAGGGAGGAGTCATAGCGTTTTTCCCCAATACAGAACTGTCTGTCATTTTTTGCGGAGGAAATCTACGCATACATTACTAATCGTCTTTCTCTACGAAACTCTCACATAAAAATTTATACAATAAACTAACAATTTCACACACACATACATACATTATTACAGTATCGCTTGGTGACAGCGACAACTCGAATATAGAATCAAGTTTTGACTATGCATATTGCTATTATGGGATGCTCACCGGGATGCTCGACAAAAATTCCTAAATTGGATCTGGCATGGGAAACCGCGTGGTGGGTATTTTTATAATGATATGATGGAATCTAAAAGAGTATTTAAACGAAAACTTAAGTTTTGTCAAAATAATCAGGACCAAATCAAGATGAATAAACTAGCGTATCAACATAGGAATAAAGATTTTCGTGGGTTTTGGAAGCATACTAAGCAGTTGAGTCCTAGAACAGGTACCCCGGTGAGCGTTGGAGGTGTGAATGAGCCGGCGAAAATAGCCAATCTTTTTAAAAGTCAGTTCCGGGTTCAGTCTTCTTTACAGTCACCTATTGAAGTCGATGCTGAGATTCATCACCAGACTGATGCACCAACTCACGTGCCCGAACGCATCACCGCTAGGGACATCACTGTTTTGGTAAATGGCATGACTGGAGGAAAGTCACCTGGTCACGATTGGCTTAGCATCGAGCACTTTCAACACGCTGGACCGCACTTACCTAGACTGCTGGCGCTCTTTTTCACCCTCTGCATGAGGCACTCTTATTTGCCGGAAGAGCTAATGAGAACGGTCGTGGTACCGATTTTGAAAAACAAAACCGGCGATATTTCGGATATGTGCAACTATCGGCCCATTTCATTAGCGACAACTGCGGCTAAGATACTTGACAGTGTGCTTGAGAGACAGTTAAAAGTACATATTAAGTTAAACGATGCACAATTTGGTTTTAGACCAAATCTATCCACTGAGTGTGCAATACTGTCGCTGAAGCACATTGTGGGGTATTACACTGTAAGGAATACGCCAGTGTATGCGGCCTTCCTGGATCTTTCAAAGGCTTTCGATCTTGTCAGGTATGACATTCTGTGGGATAAATTGCGAAAGGCTTGTCTACCTGTCTCGTACATTAGCATTTTTAGCTATTGGTACGGTCATCAAATTAATCAGGTCAGGTGGTCTAATGCACTGTCGGACGAGTATAGGTTAGAATGCGGTGTGAGGCAAGGGGGGTTAACCTCACCTACACTTTTTAATCTATATATAAATGAACTGATTGATAGACTCGGGAGTGCACGTGTCGGATGCTCTATTGATGGACTCTGCATCAACAATATCAGTTACGCAGACGACATGGTGCTTCTGAGCCCGTCAGTCAGTGCACTCAGACGGCTTTTGATCATATGTGAGGTTTATGCAGAAGCCCACGGTTTAAAATATAATGTTGCAAAGAGTGAGCTCATGGTGTTTAAGGTGGGCACGAAGAAACCTAATTTCGTACCGCCTGTAACTTTAGGGGGTGTTGCACTTAAACGAGCAACCGAATTTAAGTACCTCGGCCATGTGGTTACCGAAGATTTAAAAGATGATAAGGATATTGAAAGAGAAAGGAGGGCGCTGGCTGTCCGCTGCAATATGCTGGCCCGCCGGTTCTCACGTTGTACAGTCGAGGTAAAACTTATTTTATTTAAGGCCTATTGCCAATCCCTCTATACGTGCGCCTTATGGGTCAGATTTACTCAGCGGGCATACAACACCCTACGTATACATTATAATAACGCTTTTAGATTGTTGCTGGGGCTCCCACGTTACTGTAGTGCATCAGGTATGTTTGTTGACGCCCACATAGACAATTTTTCAACACTGATTCGCAAAAAAACTGCGTCACTGATGCACAGGGTTCATGAGAGCGCCAACAGCATTCTTAACGTAATTAGCGAGAAACCCGATTGTACTTTTTTGAGGCACTGGATGCATGTTCATGTCCATGTATCCGTTGCCTCGGACAGGCAACCCAGATATATGAAGTAATTTTTATTTAATTTTACTATCTACTTTTAACAAATTATCGTCTGCAATAAATGATTAATTATTATTATTATTATATCATTAATATAAGTTATGTTTATGATTTTGTTAATATATTATTAAGTCGGGTCTGTTGTGAGTTACGTTTACATTGATTTATATTATTTTGTTAATATTAAATAATTATTATCTTTTCAATATTATTATGAATACTTATGCATTTGATATATTAATTTTAGTAATGAGTAATAATTTTAGTATTAGAATTAACTTGAAATGAATGTAATACTACCCTATGATCCTTGCTGGTCGAAATAAATAAATAAATAAAAAAAAATTAATATGTATAAAAAATATACAATCAATTACTGAATTTTGGATAAAACGAAAACAGATATTATATTATTTTTGGTTGTAAAGCATTTTGGTTTAAATTAAAACTTTTTATTAAATTCGAATAATAAGGGTTAATAATCTTTCGCTCACCAGATGTCGCTAGCTGACACAGATTTTGTACACGAGGTAATTTAATTGAGAAGTTAGTTTTATATAAATGTTTATCAGTTTCTAGAGTAATATATTAATACATAAAACAACCTCTGGGTTAGCTCTTTAATATTTTGCACACTTAACACATCTCACCTCACAGAATACCAGCGTGAAGTAGAGGTTTACCTCTGCGTTTCGCTTGGTGAGTGCAGGTGGCCGGAGGCCCTTTTTACTGGAAATGAGGCATTCCATCTTAGTCCTCACGGGTGACAACGCATCTGCATTTTAATTCGCAAACGAGGATAGATGTAGATGTCTATGGGCCGCAGCAACCACTTACCATCAGGTGGACTGTGTGCTCGTTTGTCACCCTTATTCTATAAAAAAAAATCTTTTAATTTTTATATTTTTATGAATATGTTTTATTTATTGATAGTAATATAAAATATAACTAGTTGTACGAATATAGTACAAACCATATTCAAAGTAATATAAGATATAACTAGTAGTACAGAATGCCGTGTAGTGTCGGTTAAGAATATCCACTACTATAAATCCTCCCGTGGGTGTCGTAAGAGCCGACAGTGGGAAACAGGCAGGAGATGGGCAGCAGTATCTTCCTGATAACAGCAATACTGCAATAAAAAACTGCGGTTGCTAACCCGCAAGCCTAGCATGGCAACTATGGCAAATATCCCCTCGTGAAATGAAAGTTACGAAGAGATAGCCCCCAGTCCCCGGCGGCCTAGCTATTTCCGGCTACGGTGGCGACCACGGTAACGGTGGCAACCATGGTAACGGCGGGTCAGCGTGTGCTAAGAATCTCCGGTTGAGGTTCGGTTGCCACCTAAAACGACTCGACCTGGCAACATAAAATGCATGATAGAATAGAATAGAATGATTTTTATTCAATATTGATTATTAATTACATAATACTTATTGAAAGTAATTTTTTATTTACCACTGGTTCGGAAAATATCTCTGTCCTGGTAAGAACCAGCAAGAAACCCAGCGGGACATGCAACTAGAGGACTGACGAGAAGATCCTGGAGCTGAAATAAGAGATAGAAAAGTTACGCTGGAATATTATAGGATTATCCGAGGTCTGAAGAGATGAAGAGGACATGGTAATCCACGAATCCGGCAACTTGTTCTATCACCGGGATGGCGACCATCTGTCCCAAGGAGGTGTTGGATTTATCGTTCAGAAGTCTCTCGTTAACAACGTTGTAAAGATTAAGAATGTGTCGCCGAGGGTTACATAACTTATAATCAGAATCACCAATCGGTATTCGTTTGAGGTCATATAGATTTACGCACCAACCTCGGCACATCCCGACGATGAGCTGTTAAGCGATATGATACTTTTGAAAACATTATGGAGGAAGTTTTTGCTAAGCTTAATAAACAGAATAAATCTGTTGTAATATGTGGAGACTTTAATATCAATCTCCTAGAAGCTTCCTCCATCAATATTAAATTTAGATCATTGTTTAAATCATATGGTCTTTTTAATTTATTTATAGAGCCAACGCGTATTTCTCAATCTAGTGCAACATGTATAGATAACATTTTTACAAATGTGAAGCCGTTGCATTAATGTATAATTCAAAAATTAAATTCTGATCACTGTGGACAAGTAGTTTCGTTACCTTATGTTCACAAAAAGCAAGTAGTTGAGAAAGTTGTGTCTGTTCCAGTAAATGCACGTCGCTTGGAGAAATTTAGAAGTAACATAGTGAAAAAACTTCCATCACTTTCATACCAAAATGATCCTAATTTTTTGTATGGAACATTATTTAAGCTTATTTGCAATGAATTTAATAATACTTTTACTTCTAAAACATTCTCCTTGAACAGTCGGAAGTCATTCAATGAATGGGCGACAGTAGGAGTCCATAAGAGCAGGCATAGGTTATATGATCTTTACCATGAAAGGTCATATAATCACAGCGTCGAATTTAGCGAATATGTAAAAAAATATTCAACAATATTTAAAAGAGTGTGCTCCATAGCCAAGTCTTTGCATTTGAGCAACAAAATTAAGACGGCTTAAAATAAAATTAAAATGACATGGAGTATAATTAATAGCGAAACTGGTAAGATCAACTCTCGCAATTCAAATTACCAGTTAAGTGTTAACAACAAATTAACTGTATCAGATCAGGAAGTAGCAATGGTTTTTGAGAAATATTTTACTGATATTCCGATCTTGACCACTAAGTCACTGAATTCTTCTCCTGCCGTCGCCGAATCATTACTTAAACAAAATGTAAATGTGTGTACAAAGAATTTTACATTTCATAAAGTGTCATCAAAAGATATTGTAAAATATTTTAAAACTATTGACGTTAAGAAAACTGCGGATCTGTGGGGGATTTCCGTTAAAGTTATTGCGTCTATAATAGATACAATCGCGCTTCATTTAGCTATTATTTTTAATACTAGTATCGAATCTGGTGTTTCCTGATTTAATGAAGCATAGTAAAGTAATACCTTTATTTAAATCTGGTAGTACATTAGACCCCGCCAATTTTAGACCTATTTCTGTACTACCAACACTTAGTAAGATTCTTGAAAAAATTGTTCTTGATCAAGTGTTAAATTTTTTTAATATAAATAATTTACTTCATAAAAATCAATTTGGTTTCACAAGGGGTCGCTCGACAACTGATGCCGGTGTTGAGCTGATTAAATATATCTTTAATGCATGGGAGAATTCACAGGATGCTTTGGGTATATTTTGTGACCTATCCAAGGCCTTCGATTGTGTTCACCATGAAACATTAATCAGGAAACTTCAACACTACGGTGTAAGAAGTGATGCCCTTAAATTAATTATTTCATATTTAACTAAGAGAACGCAAAAAGTTGTCATTAACAATATGAGCTCTTCCGGATCGATGGTACAAATGGGCGTGCCTCAAGGCTCAATTCTCGGCCCCTTTCTGTTTCTTGTATACATTAATGACTTAGCTTACATAGTAGGGGATAACCATGATATAGTATTATTTGCAGATGACACTTCTTTAACCCTATAGTTGGCAAGAATATTTTTAGTAAATATTCGTTGTTCTTGCTATATATATTGGATCTTGGAGTTGTCAAAAACATATAGAAAATATAAAAAAAAATCCAACATAATATATAATTTTGGAAATATAGCATGTGTATTTAAATGCACATTGCTAGCTTTGTCGAGTTTAGGCTATCATAAAAGCGTGTGTCTTTAAATGCACATTGCTAGCTTTGTCGAGTTTAGGCTATCATAAAAGCGTGTGTCTTTAAATGCACATTGCTAGCTTTGTCGAGTTTAGGATATCATAAAAGCGTGTGTCTTTAAATGCACATTGCTAGCTTTGTCGAGTTTAGGCTATCATAAAAGCGTGTGTCTTTAAATGCACATTGCTAGCTTTGTCGAGTTTACGCCATCAAAAAAGCGTGTGCATTAAAATATACTTTGCCATGTGCAGGGTTAAATAAAACATGCTTTATTTTTATCCAATCAATGTTTTATTAATATGAAGTATTTTATAAAAAACTATCTGTTTTGCTTATATTGCCCATTTAATTATCATAATCATTTAAGAGATCAAAAATAAGTAAAAAACATCAACAAATTCAACTTTTACCTTTAGATCAAGTCAAATCTATATTATCTTTGTTGTTAAACAATTATCACAAACTAAAGTTACAACTATTTATCTATTAAGTATCGTATGTTTATTTATAAAGAAAAAATGCTACTAAAATAAGAGATCAACAATCAGTATTAAAGATATCAACAATCGTAACCTTTAAATCAAGGCATCACATGGTAAATAATGCTAAACAATCATCACAAATTAAAAAAATATAATATTTTATATAAATTAAGGACTTATAAAAAAATGTTGTTAAAATTAGGTTTAGTAAAAAAATTAGGCTGACTTAGTATGATAATCAAAAAAACAATTACGACCCTCTACTAAACAAAGACGTACATTACATTTCACACATATGAATTTAGTCTGACTTTTTATGCATTTCTTGCATCTGCCTTTACTTGCAAAAGATGGCATGTGCCCAATTTGGTCCAATCGGCCATAGTCAGATATTTGTGGTGTGACAAAATGCGCACCTCTAGAAGTATTAGCAATCTCCTTTGTTCTTTGAAATGTGTTGAGATCATTACTTATGGCACATCGAAAAACTTTGAGTTTCATATGCTTTTTACCTTTGTTTTCACGACGATAGATGAGCCATGCATTATTAACACATATGTCAAGAAGCTGTGAGCATAAAGGAATATACCAACGATGTGCTCGCATTTCAGTCCGATAAAGTGCAACAAGCATATCTGCAAGATCCACACCTCCCATATTATTGTTATATTCTTTAATTATGTTGGGACATGTAACAGGGTTTCTGCTTTTTGTTTTTTTGCAATATCGCCACACTTGTTGCACTGGTTGGGAGTGAGTGTACGTACTTGCCGCAGTGACACATTTAGTGTCAAACCATTTAATTACCGCTATTTTGCATTCATTAGAAATGACCTGGGCAAAAGATCCACGGCCTCTTTTCTTTAAGTTTTTATCAGTCGGCAGTTTAGCTGCAGCCCCTCGAAGTCTATTTTGCCTTATAGTCCCTAAAGCAAAGATGCCATATTCATTTCTCAAATGCTTCAGTAACTCCAGAGAAGTGAAAAAATTGTCGAAGTACAGCACTGAACAAGCTTGTTGTTTGATTGTCTTGGATAAAGCTAATACAACTTTTGCGCCTAAACCCATGCCATTTTCATCTTCCGTAAAATCATGATAACGAAATATCCTCTCCACCGTATGCCAAAAAGTCATAAATAATACCGGATACTTCTGCGCGAACGAATACTTTAAAACCCCATTTACGGGGTTTATTTTTAATGTATTGTTTACGTGAACCAGCTCGTGTACCTTTATAAGGCACCATCATTTCGTCAATGCTGAAACGATTTTCCTCTTCAATTTTGAGACAATTACGGCGTATACTTTCTAAAAGATTTCTAACTTTAAAGTACCTGTCTCCATCATCTTGTAAATTATTAGCAAAGTGTAAATATCTTCGGATCTGTTGAAACCGTTTTAATGGCATTATGTTAGCAATTTTATTGTAACGCAGCGTTTTACACCAATAATCTGTGTAAGCAGGCATGTTTACTACACCCATCAATAAATGTATCGCAATGAAATCCCTTATTTCATCCGTTGTGACATTAAGTGGTGTGCTTTTTGTTTGCATGTGATACAAATTAGTTTGCTGGACAATCAATTCTATAAGGTCATAGTCAAAGAACATCCAAAAGTACTCTAACGGTGACCTAGATTGCAGTGATGGCGGGAACATTCTAACTTCAATATCTGCTTTACCTTTAAACGATTTCGTACAAGTCCATTTCGTATCTATTCGCTTTACGCGTACAAGTGCCTTTTTGACAACAACTGTAGTTTTTTTCTTCGATCGAGTGCCACCAGATGGAGATGCAATGTTAAAATCATTTCGACCAGCTAATGGTGAAATTTGCGAAACGTTGAAAGCTGGTATAGATGAAATGTTTGTAGCCAGTGGACTTTGGTGTTTGATTTGCTGGTTTTGGCTATCTGAAGCAGTTGGAACTGAAACTGAAGCTAGTATAGACGGTGAATCTGGACCAAGATAAGATGGGGTCGATACTTGATGACATGAATTAATATTCGAGTCAATCACTGACGAGCTTACAGTTGTTATGTCACCACTATCTGAAAGTAAATGAAGATTTTCAAATGAAGATCCTAGTGATGGTGGTTCTGAACTTAAATCAGAACCCTCAACGATCTTGTTTTCCACAATTTTGCGTGCATAATAAACTTCATCTTCAGAAGAATCACTGTTCTCGATGTCGGAACCAGCACCAGACTTAGGCACTAACGCCAAAATTCTGGCGGTTCTTGCAGAAGACTACAACAAAAAGAATATTATTAAATAACCAACCAAAATAAATAATTAATTTCATTGTTATCCATAATAATATATTAAAAAATAATTGCCTCCAAACTGGCAATGTATCCACAAATGCACACACCCAAATTCAAGAAGTCTGTTGTTAAGTTGGCAATGTGCATTTAAAGGTACATGCAGAATGACACGAAAATTAGACTAAGAAAACTAAATTTAATTAACAAAATTTATAGTTCACTCGAAAGAACGTGTTATTAGGTACTATTTCTAGCAAGTTGTTTTTCATTTTTATAGTTAAATGATACGATTCCAAACGATTTTTACCTTGTATGTCGTAGACGCCCGCGCACGCTCTGCCATCTTGTGACCTACTGTGCGTCCTGGTGTTGCCACTGCTCATCAATATTTTTTGCCGTAAGATATGGGTATTACACTACGCGAATGTAAACAAAATAAATTAAAAATATTCTTGATTTTTGCCTAGGATTTTTTACAAAATAGTGTGCATTTAAATGCACATCGTCAAGTATAGGGTTAATTTTCAAATTAAGTCGACAGTTACTAAAGTATGACGAAGTAAATAATGCTATATCTAAATTAGTAAATTGGTTCGATGTTAATAATTTGCATTTAAATGGCACTAAAACAAAATGTATGAAATTCGTGACTCCAAATGTCAAACAATTAAATACTAACGTAATTTTAAATGGGGAGAAACTGAGTCTTGTAGATACCACCATTTTTCTTGGAATCACACTAGACGCGAAGCTTCAATGGAGCCCCCATATATCAAAACTAGCAAGCAGACTTAGTTCTGCAGCATATGCTGTAAAAAAGATTAGAAGTCTAACCAGTGTTGAAACAGCTAGACTAGTTTACTTCAGCTACTTCCATAGCATAATGTCGTATGGTATTTTGCTATGAGGACACGCAGCTGACACTGAAATTATATTTGTTTTGCAGAAGAGGGCCATAAGAGCAATTTATGATTTAAAGCCTAAAGAATCGCTGCGACAAAAATTTAAGGAAATTAATATATTAACTTTGGCCTCTCAATACATTTATGAAAATGTAATGTACGTACACAAAAATAAAAGTAGTTTTACAAAAATAAGTGATATTCATTCTGTAAATACTAGGAACACACACAAGCTAGTAGTACCAGTTACTCGACTCCATCGAGTCAGTAATTCATTTTTGGGGCGATGTATACGCTTTTACAACAAAATTCCAGAAAATATACAAAGTTTGACCTGTTCAAAGTTCAGAAACTTTATTAAACTAAGTTTGTATAAAAAGGGTTATTATAATATTAAGGAATTTATGGATGATAATAACCCCTGGAAATGAGGTGATCGCTACCAAGCTATTTCTAATTTGTTGTGTTGTTAATTTGTGTAACATCATGATTGTAAGTTGTTATTTAAAAAAAAAAGTCCCGCTGGGAGGTTTTTTCCGAACCAGTGGTAATCAAACAAAAGAGTGACTTTCAATAAGTATTATTTATAATCTATATTGAATAAAAAAGTTTCTGTTTCTGTTTCTGTTTCTGTTTCTGAGGTGGAAGAAATGTAAGAAGATATATCTAGAGCCATAAATTTCTCTAAAATCCACTATACGGTGTTAATGGGAGACTTCAACGCAAAACTGGGTACAAGAGAGAACGGTGAGCTGAAGTTAGGGAAATTTGGAATAGAGCAACGGAACCCAAGAAGCTGACTTCATGGAGAAAGAGAGACTCATTATGACGAAACCTTTCTTCCAGAAGCGGCCCACAGGCAGTGGACCTGGTCGAGCCCTAAAGATTCGATAAAAAATAAGATTGACTTCATTACGACGACCAGACGATAATTGTTCAGTGATGTCTCAGTGATAGCGAGGGTGAAAACTGATAGCGATCACCGAATGGTTAGAGGTATGCCTCTATATCTCTACATGTCATACTAAACCTAAAGGTTATGTAAGAGAGATGCGGTCTAATGAAGTCAACGTCCCCCTCGTTCTCTAATCCAAAGTCCCGAGACCTTTCAGCTCGACTTACAAAACCGTTTTCAGTGCCTAGAAAACTACAATGTAGTGGACGATATAAATGACAAGCTCGTAGAAACTCGGAGCTAAGTTATGCAAGAACCGTCTCAGGAGAACACAAAATTCTCCGATCACACTCTTAATCTCATGGCTGTTAGACGGGAAATGAAGCTATAGTCTTCAGTAGATTTGACAGCATACAGGCAACTGAATAGACAGTTCTCCAAACGCATGCGGTGGGACTTACGCAACTTCAATACAGCTTGTATTGAAGAAGCGATCGAGCGGAACCAGAGCTCCAAAGTCTTTGCTAGAGATCTGTCTGCCAGTAAGAGCCAACTATCGAAGCTGAAGACCAAGTGTGGCAGCGTCGTTTCCGGGACACCCGAGATTATTAGTGAAGTTGAGAGGATTTATGGGCAGCTCTACACGTCATAGTTAGCGACACATGCAAGTGTGAGTAACGATACAAGAGCAAGTATTATCCGACACTATCACGATAGTATCCCGTACATCAGTCTGAGCAAGATTAGAATGGCTATCCAGAACCTTAAAAACGGGAAGGCCCCAGGCGAGGATGGAATTACAGCGGAGCTTCTGAAAGCGGGTGAAAAACCGATACTTCAAGTCTTTCAGAATCTTTCTCTTTATTCTGTTCTCCATGGTGGAACTACTGTGGAGGCGTAGAGCAGAAGTGCGGTGGTCTTGTTCTTCAAGAAAGGTGAAAACGCTCTCTTGATGAACTACAGACCAATTTGCGTCTACATGCTATTTTCAAGAGTCGTTACGAATCGTCTCGCACGCAGACTCGACGACATCCAGTCTTCCGAACAAGCTGGTTTTTGAAATAGCTTTAGTACCATAGAACACATACATACCCTTCGACAAATTGTACAGGAGTCTGATGAATAAATACAAAATGCTACTATGTCTGGCGTATGTAGACTATGAGAAAGCCTTTGATTCTATCGAAATTTGTTTATTTCCTTTCAGTTCCTTCAGCGGTGCCAATTTTACTGTTGGAATATCGAAGTGCTGAAGTGTTTGTACAGTAGGACTACGATGACTATCCGAGTACAGAGTCAGGGTATGAAACCTATCCAACTGCAGAGAGGTGTAAGACAGGGTGACATTATATACCCGACACTCTTTACCACTGCATTGGAAGACGTTTTCAAGCTACTGGACTGAAAAGGATAACTCAGCAGTGTCAAGCTGCCATTTTACGCTGGGATTCTGTGAGAGGACCACGACCATTTCCTGGTCGAGCCGACCCATTCATGCTACAATTATACTAATGATATAGCTGCAGCATGACTCTACCACGTATATATAGCTTTAAGAATTGACTACCGATGGGGAAAAAAGGTTCTCGAGTGGCAGTCTCGTACCGGTAGGCGAAGTGTAGGGCGTCCCCTCCACTATACGGAGCGACTAGGAGTTTTTGAATAAATTAACCTCTCCGCTACGAAATCTGTCAAATATTTTACCTCATTTTTAAGTGGCGCCGCCCTGGTGGCAGAAAAAGTCGTGGATGCCCTCATTATTATAACTAATTAATTACTTTATGAGAATTATTTTTGAGTCTGTTCAGATCACTGCAAAAAGGAAAAGAGTGAACTTTTATCTGTCTTATTAAAAAACGATCTAATATTTTAGTCATTTACCAGAAAAGTGCTTATCATAACGGCCTGGCGCTATAGTCTGTATGTATAGTCTGTTGTAAGCAAATTTCATAATTATTGACACTTAAACATGAAATATGCTTCGTGCTTCTTAATTCTCATAACACCGTCTATGCTATTTACTTACATATTAGGCAATTAATCCCTTCGTTCACAATAACTTGAAACTTCAAGAATTAGTATAATCTAGTAAACAATTCGCCCCTGAAGGCAACTTGAGAGGCTTCATATAATCAATATTCCCCGTCAAGGCAATAACCGAACTTTGTTCCTATACTGACTACCCTTATATTGGGCACCAGTTTGAATCAAATACGTGTATTAATCTAGTAATTTCCTATGTGACGTGTGGTGAAGGCGTAAGGGAATCAATCACCAAATGACGTCCAGTGAGTCGCTAGAAGCGCGTATGGGAAATGGCATAAACATGACTTCAAAAAGATGGCAATATATCATCTCTCAAAGACGGATAACGGTGTCAAAGGTGCGAGACGTCTGGTACTGCGAGCTTCAATCCGCATGTCAAGCACGACGATTTATGTAAATCCTTCATACAACGGGGCTTATTATGGGTACTCCAACTGCGGTTTATTACGGGCTGATGAAGAACATGAAGAAATTCAGTTATTTTTTTATAAAGAATAAGGGTGACAAACGAGCACACAGTCCACCTGATGGCAACTGGATACTGAGTTCCATAGACATCTACATCAGTCCTCAATTAAGAATCAAAATACAGATGTATTGTCACCCTGAGGACTAAGATGGAATTCCTCTTGGTGGTCTTTCCCCGGTCAAGCCGACTAATTCGTGCTTCAACCATAATATGAATTCAGCGTGGTTCTACTACGTAAAGTCTCACTATTTAATAAGTATGATTTAAATTATTATATCAAAGAAATAATAGAGATTATATTTTATTCCAGTAACATATTATGTGTCTTGAGTGACAAAATATTAAAACTAAATTGTTATCACTCTCAAAATACACTAATTTCCTTTCCCTGGGTGAAGCAAAGATACGATACTAGTACTGATCAATTAAATATTCTTGCCCAAACGAAATATCAAAGTTTATTTTGAGAAATATTAAGAATTCCGAACGAAAAATTGTTCGAATCGAAGCGTTTAAATATATTATGGCGACACAAAACACTTTTACATACGTGATTTCCGTAGGGGAAATTCTCATTTTACTGAGTTTGCTACAAGGACAGCCAACCCTGATATTCCGATAAGACGCATCGTCTGTCGCGTGTATTACTTATCTTCGTATGGATTATCAGATACGCTAGGATTGTTCTTTGTCCCTTTCTCTGTGTCTGTGTCCATTATAAAATAAGTTTTAATTCTATTTTTGTTTAACTATGTAAAATATAAAAACATACTAAACGTATGTGTAACAAAACTTATTGATATTATACATAATTTACAAATATATATATATAGATTAGAATAAGAGTCTTTCATAAATGCTGGGCATCGAGAGTTAAAAATGGACGAATTTATTCCACTTTTCCCTGTTTTCATGGCTTGGACGTATAAACCTAAAAATAAAATAAATGAATAATCAGCAAATTTAAATATCAGTAATTTACCGTTATTATGAATACTTTATTTGTTTCTAAAACAATAAACATTATATTA